AGGAGCAGACCTCCGTTCTTTGCTGTTATTGCCCTATTAGCCCGCTCTGTTTGATCCCGCCTTGTCCATGGCGATTGGATCAAAGACCGGACTATCTCTTTTTAGTTAGCGAAGCTATAGTCTATGTCGTACCTCGGACCCGTGCGTGTTGACCCGATCGGCCGTCTAAAACCATCTTTCCCGAAGATGTGTCTGAGAACATGACATGGATGTGCCTAGCTAACCCCCGCTTCTTTTGTTTTGCTGAGCAACTCTCTTCTTGGCTCCCGATGTTATTATGTCGTGTGGATCGAGAGAACCCATTGCTGTCCAATCTCTTTGTGCTACCGCTTTCTACCATAGCGGATGAGCCAAAGTACATTGGAGCCAAGTTACAATAGTGTTAATCGTTCTTGTTTGCTACTCGTGTCCAATTGTGACTTGCGGGATAAGGTTACAAGAGCCGAACCCTGTCGTTCTTCTTCTTGGGGACCGACTTCCAATCCCCGTCAATTCAATGACACCGGATCAAAAGATCATGAGCCGTGGTGTTGCTATGGATAAGCTTTGGCTTAAACCATCTATCCTAAAGCCATACTGGCTTGGCCATGACTTAAGCTTGTGCTTAGCAAACCACCACTTGTGATTCTTTGGCCCGAGGAAATCGGACAACCGCCGAGAGGGCTAAGCCGTGTATCTCTTATTGCCTCACTGGTGTTATTGGATTTTTCCTGCATTTTGTCGTCTTTTCGAGTGTGGAGTGCTCTCTTGCCTTGCGTGTCGCTTCGCGGAGTAGCTGACGATCGGACCAAGAGAACATGGACGACGACAAGGACTGTGGAATGGAGTCAACGCAGGAGGAGGTGACCCCACTAATGGAACACCAACGAATGGAGAATTGTACCACTACTACCTCTACATCGTAGGTGTCATGGCAGCACCCTCTTTTAGAGAATCCTATTAGACATTGCATAATATCTAGAACTACTAGCGCTTTATATTTAACCATTTGCTAATATATTGATGCATGCTACTACCTGAGCCATTATCACCTTGATGCAACCCACTATACCACGTCACCCTGCTTTGTGCATTCGCTCACTTATATATGCTGACTTGCCTGCTTGCTTGCATATTACACCACTATACTTATTATTAACTCCACTTCGCATTATATCGGGGATGTGATGCTAGTGGTGAACCCCTAGGAATGGTTTGGCTTTGGAAGCCGGACTCGATGGTGTATGAGCGTGCTGCGTGTGCGCCTTGGGTGCATGGAGAGTGAGGGTTATGTCGACCGAGCTAGAATAACGATGAGCCTGGGGCGAGTCTTGCCATGTGGTGCTACCTAGGCACTTGGATATGGAATACCTGTGGCAGGTAAATGGTAATTGGAGGAGGCCTTGGGTGTGAACGTGTGATGGGAGGAGCCCAGGGTAGAGGTGTTGTGGTGGCATGTAAAATGGAAACCCTGATGAAGACATTCTGGCTTGGTCATCCCTAAGGACTTACTAGTACTCAGATTCACCGGGAATCCTTTACATCCCACTCGCCCTATATGGTGCGGGATGGTCGGACTACTTGGTAGAGCGATGCCACTACTGCTAGGCGAACGTGTGTAAGGAGGTACGGGGTGCGTGGTTTTCCCCCACACCCTTCCGTGACTTCAGGAGGCCTTGTGTACCCGGCTCTTGACATCCGGAGGGCCCTGGCTCTGTCTACGACTCATAGTATCAGCCATCCCAGACTAGACTTGGGATGTTCCAGGGCTGAGAGGTAGGGTGGCATAGTTCTAGGCTAGCAAGCGACCGGAATTCTTCCTAGGAGATTCTAGACTCCAAGGATGGCTAATCTTGTGGGTATGTGAAACCTCTGCAGAGTGTTTGGTTGATCGATCGATACATATGCTGACTTGTCAGCTATGGACCTTTCCTGGGTTTCGCTTAAACTAGATAGGAGATGAGTCCTTCTTTCCTCCCTCCAGGGTTGGGGTATTTTCCGGTCGTGAGCCTTGGGGGCTGCAGGCCGTTGAGACAAGGCCGAGAGGGAGTTGGCCTGTTGACCTGAGTGTGTGAGATGAGATATGGTGTGGTGGTGTGGAGATGGTTTGGGATGGATGGTTGGTGGATGGATATGGATGGTGTGGTGGTGAATGTGTTAAAAACTGGATATTATTATTATTATATTACTAATGTTATTTACTTCTCATGCGCTAAGAATGCAAACCACAGCTAAATATTAGGATCGCCAGATCCCTTGTTTATCTTTTCCACTAAAGCTCATCGGTGCTGACCATGGCCTACACCCATCTGGCAGTGTGTAGATTTCCTGCTTCTCAGAGATGCTGACTGTAGAAGGATTAGGAGGTCTCGTGCCTACGCTCAAGTTTGGTTCGGAGATGGAATTTACGCTGCACTATGCCAACTCTGATGATGACCCATGAAGGAGGAGCCTTCACTCGATAGTCTTCCGCTAGATTAACTCTGTAATAGGTGTGTTCCCCAGTGATGTAATATCTTATATTCTTGTAATCTTACGATGTATGATTGTGACATCGACTGAAATATGATAATATGATGGAATCAGTTCTTGGTTTATCATATTAAAATTCATTTTGTGGATTTTCCATTCAAGGAAAATTGAGGATGTTTCAGTTGGTATCAGAGCCATACTTGACCTTAGGACAAGACCTTTAGGACCAAACACTAGTATAATAGCTAACCATCCTGTCTGTTGTAGAGTTATAGTTGCTAACACTTGCTTCCCCTTCTATGCCTTGAATTCTGAAGCTAACTGACCTTCCCTTTTTTGAAAAGTTGACCTTAGGTAATATACCCCTTTTTCCGCCCACGTTAGAACGATAGATGTGTGAGACTCAAAGGCTTAGGAGTCGCCTCAAGTCAACACTATGCATATAGGAGTTGTAATGCTGCCTGATTGCCTAGATCTTATGTTGTTGTGTTTCTTGTGCTTCTTGCGAATTTTATTATCTGAGTGTAGGTTATAGAAGCTATTTTATTTACATGTGACTCCAGGACCCTGGCTAACTTAGCAGGCTATGAACCAAGACCGCCATAAGACTAGACAAAACCTTTAGAGATCCTTGGACACCCCGTATAAATTTGGATTGAGTTATCGAAGAAAACAAAAGGACAACAATTCCTTTTGCAAGGTTCTATGGAACAACTACCCCGATCAAGAAGCAACACACTGCCTCTTCGCTGACCGAGCAACACCTTAATCTCGAGGACGAGATTCCTATAAGGAGGGTGGACTATAACAACCCGGGTTTTTGGAGAAGCCAAAAATACGAACTTTTTAAAATTTTTTTTGCAATTGAGTGAAACATGTAATTGCTAGGTCAAACATGAGTCCAACTCTCTAACAAGAAGTTGCATACATGTAGATGGTTTGTAGGTGATTGCCGGAGTTTTCGAGTTGTCCTGTGTTTGAGCCTCATTTTTGTTGGAGACCACAACCCATAGCAACCTCCTTGTGATCCTCGCGGGATTATTTCGAGTCTTCCGTGAATCTCTCTCTATAATCCCAAACTCCACTAGAACCCGGACTTGCCATTTATATTTGTGCCAACCATTGGACCGGAGTCCCTAAACCCTAAGACCCCTAGTAGACCACCACGATGAGTAAGCATGTTGTTAATACATGCGGGTACACACATATAAGACCTAGGAGTAGGAGAACAAAGGAAAAGACCCTCTCCTCTAGTCGCCAGTGGAAATCATCTCGAGCCCCATCTTGGAGCTCACATCTCAAGCGCCATCAATACCCCTTTCTTGAAATTCCTATTCAAACTCCATGCAGATCTCCCCGAATTTCCCCCCAAATTCTTCCTTCGAGTTTTTTCCAAATATCCCCTGAAAAATTCCCATCCGAACACTCGTGGAAATTTCGTCTTGAGTTCATATGAATCTCTCCGAAAGATTCCTCGAACACTGCCTTATATTTCATCTTGGAAATCCTTCTCAAGATGTGATGAATTCTTCTCAAAACCAAATTCAAAACCATTTAAACTTAAATTGGAGAATCTATTTCCTTCTCTCTCTTCTCTCCCCTCACACCTTGGCCTGGCCTAGCACTCCCTCTCTTCCCCTTCTTTCTGCACCTGCCCAGCAAGCTACAGGAGCCCAACCGAGCCCCCCTCTCCTTGCCCAGCTTGGCCTCCTGCCTTCAGCCCACGTAGGCAGAAGCAGCAGCCCAGCAACCCCGGCCCATCTCGCACCCCACAGGCCCATAAGCGCGAGCCTGCTGGCCCATCCAGAAGCTACCCCAACCCCAAGCCCTAGCGAGAGTAGGAGCTCCCAGCACCGTCGGCGCTCGCACGCCAGCGCCCCCTCACCCACGCCTCACCTTCTTCGCTCCTCGATTCGTGCTACGTGTACCTCCCTGGGCACAGACGCCGAGGATGGCTGGAGCCTCCTAGAAGCCCTAGCGTGCAGCGCTATAAAAGGCCGCCACAACACCGCCCCTTTCCCTCCCTTTCTCAGCCGCCGCCGCCATCCCTCCCACTCTTCCTCCGTGCGAGCAGCCACTTTCCGACGCGCCACCAGTTGCCTCGCCACCGCAAGCCCCTACTCCACCTTGCCGTGCCCCGCATCTCGCCGGAGAGCATGCCAAGCCGGAGACACTGCCGAAGCCACGGCGCCGCCCGTGATGCCGTGCTCCCCGGCCGCCCAACGAGCGCCGTCCCGGACCTGAGGCCGAGCCTTAGGCGCCGTCCTCCGTCTCCTCGCCCAAGCCTACGTCACGTCGACATGTGTGGCCACGACACCGGCCTCGCCACATCGCTCAACGCTCATGGTCGCGCTGAGCCTGTCCACCACCGTGCGTCTGCCTCGCATCCGTGAGCACCATCTTGTCCCTGCGTTCGCGTTGTCCTCGACGTCATCTGTGGCCGTGTCTCCGCGAGCGCGTCCGCAACAACCACCGTAGGCCGAGCCCAAGGACCCCGCAACGTCCACATAGCTGCACCACCTCGTCGACGTCCACCTTGAGCCTCTGCTCTACGCCTCGTCCTCGGCCATGGCCACGCCAAGCCCTGACCCTGTCTCGGCCACGACGAGCCTCTCCACACCGATGTCGTCGTGCTCCATCGAGGCTGCACCGATGCCCTCCACTTCGACCCACACCGACGTCACCATGGCCGAGAGCAGGAGCTGCATCGCCTGCTGAGCACCCAAAGCCCAGGACCCCATCTTTTCCCCTCCCTACCGTTACTCTTGCTGAGCCCGGCCTCCGAGACGTGCAACTCTATGTGCAGGGAAGAAGCCGGCCCCTTGCGGCATCATTCGCGAACCATGGCTGAGTTCCGTCCAACAGCCGCCACCTGTTTGGCAATATATATCCTCCCCACTTTTGTGAACATGTGTTTATCTTTCATTCGCAAATGACCATCATCTATGTATCATCTATCTATCCATGATTAGTAAATGCTTGTGCCGACCATCGCCGCCGGTCTACTCCTTTGTTTCCATTTCCCTTCATGACGATCTATCTATTACGCGTATCTATCTCTTGTACCTCGAATTCTTTTCCCAAGTGCTTCGATTAGGTGCTACATCTTCGTCGCCCGATCACCCTGATGAGCCGAAGCCGTTGGATGACCACAGGTGCGACCAACTACAAGCTCCGCCAAGATTGCGATGCCGAGCAACGCGGGTCACGTTCTTCCACTTCGACAAACCTTTGTGAGCCACCACCGTGCCCCTCTTTCCAACATCGATGTTGCTTACCGGCCATGGCGTTCCAACCATGGAATGCGTAGACCGAGGCCACCTCCGGCCTTTGGACACACAAGCGCAAACACACACACACGTGACTAACCCAAGCCAAATCGAACCACCGGAGTTCCAAGAACGCCGGTGTGGTTGCCGACCACCATTGAAGCATTCTCTAAAGCCATGTCTCGTCCACCGTGAACCACGCCCGAATGAGTCAAGCGTTGATCACCGTCTCTGACGTTGCGATGGAGCTCTACCGCTCCTAGACACGCCCGCACTCACTAGCACGAGACTGGACTTAGCCAAATGGATCCACGGCGTAGGAGACGCCAGAAAGGACTTGTCGCCTGTAAAACCCATCGTGGCCAAGCCATGCCACGACAAAGAGTTACCATGACCTCATCGTGAGCCCCGAAGCCGTAATCGGACCACGTGGTATTGATCACCGCATCATGGACTACAGGATTCCCTTTTTGGTTGCCCTGATGGTTCCGTGGAACCCTATGCCCGTGTTTCACCACTTTACCCGCTACCTCGAGTTACGAGAACATGCTGTCGAGATCTACCAGGACCCACACTAAAGGCCTTTTGATGTAGTCTCATTGCACAACTCACGGACAAAGCCCTGGCATACACCGCATGACCTAGCACCGTGCCGTCGTTGTATTGAGTCCGTTCCTAACGTTCTGGCTGCCTCGTTCAACGAGGGCGAGCCGTTGAGAAACCGTGTGATCCCTAGCATCGTACCGATGACAAGTGGAGTCTTTCCGATGTTCTGGTCGCCTTGCCTTGCAAGTGTGGGGCGTTGAGGAGATATCATGACCCCGTCTACTACAAGCCGTAACCTCTGGACCATGAACCCTAGTCGTATGTCTTATCGAGACCATGGAAAACCCCATATCACACCTTTCCGTATAAGCAAATCTACCTTGTTGGGCCCTATTCTTACGACCTATCTGTCCATGACTGACTTACAGGATCTATCCATCACCCAACTATGGAATGTGCTACTCCACCATTTTTGTTGGGTTGTTTGGTCATGTCTTATCGCTGTGTTGTTGCCTGTGTGCCGAGCTTTCGAGCCGGCTGAGGGATCGTACCTCATTCGGACATTATGTTCACGGGATTTGCCTCGCCATGGCTGTGATGCCGAGTGTAACTTGACCCCTTGCTCTTTAGTTGACTTCATAATACTACGAGTGTTAACTCCTACCTTCAGTCCTAGGACATGGTCGGGTTGGATTCAATATCGATATCAATGCGGATATCACCCGCTCACATCGAGCCTTTCGTGACCTAGCCTGTGGGAGATGACCTAGGAGATAACAATCGTGGAACGATGGATGCCAACATGTGTTGGTATAGCTTGTGGCCGCGAATCCGCCTCACCATGATCTTGGAGCTATGCCTCTCTCTTTCATTTGCTTCTTCGTGCTCAAGCCATTGTGTTTGTACCCCGTTCGACCGTCGCGTTTCTTCGATTCTCGCGGTGACCACCGCACCGTTATGAATCAGAGAGATGACTTAGTGCTAGTGCACCTAGGTCGGGTACTGTCGGGGACCTAATACCAGGATACCCCGAAAGGCGGAACCAATAACCATCGAACGTTAAAAACTTCTGGACAGACAAGGGCGCCGCTGCGTTCCTTGCCTGAATGACGAAAGTTAGGTTTCGTCTCGCCCGACGCCTCTGGACTAACCCCACCTCGCCCGAGGGCAAAAGGCCTCGAGGGCAAAGGGATGGCCTCCGTCTCACCCGACACCTTTGGGCCAGCCCTGCCTCGCCCGAGGGCAAGGGGCTGGCCATCGTCTCGCCCGACGCCTTTGGGCCTGCCCCGCCTCGCCCGGGGGCAAGGGGCTGGCCTCTGTCTTGCTCGAGGGCTAAGGAATACACTCCGCCTCGCCCGACGACCAAGGACAAACCTTGCCCCAATCGATATCCAAAGGCTGGTTTTATCTTACCTGATAAACTTCTCTCCCGTCCCCTCATGATGATAGGTACAGTGCAAGACAAGACGTTCGGGTCAACCACGGCTTCAAGGACCATACCCTGCGCCTCGGTAGGAAAGGTACTGCCAGGGAATGACTGGACAGGTGCTTTAGACCCTCCCGGGCGCCGTAGAGCCCAAAAGGTATTGCAGGCGCATACTCCTCACCCTGTAGAATTGTAGGTGCCGACTTCAGCTCTGGGACATGGGACCCGATGAAGATACACGACAACCACTACACTCCAAAAAAGGATTTGTAATCTCCACGAATGACGGACATGCCGTCACCACATTATGGACACAATGGAGCGGCGCCCGCTTCCCGACCCCTCGGGTCCACCAAATCGCAGGACCTTGCCCACAGCGCTACTCCGACCTCGACTCCGCGTCCCTACGACAGAGACTCATAGGGCCAGAAGGCGTGCGGAGCAAGGCTGGGTGAGGTTCATAAGTCAAAACCCCTATACTCCAGCCCATGCCCTGCGCAGGGCACTATTATGTAACCATCCTGACATTCTACAGAAGCATCGATAATATTGTAGGCGCTTATCTTCCTTTCGCACCCATCAGAATGGGTAAGGAGGCTAGGTAGAGCACGGATCCTAAGCCACTAACCCTTGTAAAACCATCCCCTTCATCTATAAAAGGGGATGTGCCTCCTCCAGAAAGAGGATGGAACGAAAAATCAAGGCGACACACACATAGTCAAGCGGCTACCAAGCTCTTGACCTCCTTTCGACCCTTCCATCAGAGACTTGGGACCAGTCCCTCTCTCGATCGTTTGTACCCCCTACTACAAACCGTTCACGGTGCTAATAACACGAGCAGCAACAAACTAGACGTAGGGACATTCGGCCCGAACCAGTATAAATCTTGTGTCCTTTAGCGCACCATCCGAGCCTAACGCGCATTACTATAAATTTACTTGCCGGTGCCTGTACGAAACACCGACAGTTGGCGCGCCAGGTAGGGGCTTTGTGCATTCCAAATCAGGCCTTGGATGGCCACCCACGCAATCAGCTGGGCCCCGAGCGCACATGTGCGTTTCGGCGACCTATATTTCATCGTCACACTAGGAGGAGAACTGGCGCTAACCCACACGGCCGCACAGTCTCTCCCTTCCATCAACCTCGGCCGTCTGAGGCTTGGCGACCTACGGGGTGATTCCCTTGGACCCCGGTCATCCAGGGAGCCCCCACGCAACATAACCCTATTTCTGGAAGGCCCCGTACGAGGCGCCCCGACAGCGTTTCCGTTCGGTCTCCGCAGTGACGCGGCGACCGCTGGCCACCTTCTGGCACTACACATGGTCCAACCACCTACGAACAGCGAGTTCGTAGGGGTAATCGAACATGATCCAGAGACACTCTACGGGCTCATCGCGGAGGAACCAGAGTAGTCCTACAGCTCTGACTCCAGCAAGGGGAGCCATCACCCTTCCCGGGAATGCTTCATGACGCAAACCCCCGAGGGTGACATCCAAAGTGTCTCCGGAGAGGAGACAACCCCAACAGACAACCCCAATGCCAGGATCGAGGCGGAGATGGCAGCTCCATCTCATGTAAGGATGGAGCAGCTAAGAGCACGAAAGCTGGAGATCGATGACGCCGGGCAACAACTTGTCCGGGAATACCGAAACATCGAGGAGGAGATCAAGCGTCGCAGAGACGGTGGGCACGCATGCACCTCGGCCCGTGATGTGCATCGGAGGATCCTCACCGATGATGGGACTCTCCCTCACTTCGCTCGGGCAAGCCAGAACATCGCCGCAGCAACTGCCTTGCTGCACGGCCTTCCAGAGGCCACGACGTCCGAGGATCGCCGCGCCCGTCGAGAAATTCGCACGTTGCTCGAGCGTGCGGTGGCACAGCAGGCGGAGAGTTCGTTGTCTCGACGACGTGAACCCGACACCTACCAGTGCATGCCCTCGGTACGTCCCACCAAGGACACGTCCGTTCACTAGACGCCGCCAAGCAACAGGCAGCGCTCCGCTATCCTGGTACATCAACGTCTCGGCCACAACCGTGACATGAGCAGCACCATCAACGCCCGCAGGCGTACCCACGGCGACGAAAGGGAAGGATCCCGTCACGGCTATCATCCTCGACGCGGCGGGCGCTACGACAGTGGCGAGGATCAGAGCCCGAGCCCTAGCCTACCAGGCCCTCGGGCCTTCGGCCGACACATCCTCAACGCTACGTTCCCCCCGAGGTACCGACCACCCACAAATATCCTAAAGTATTCTAGAGAATCGAACCCCAGGCTTTGGCTTGAAGACTATCGGCTTGCCTGCCAGGCCGGTGGTGTGAGTGATGACAACTTCATTATTCGCAATCTCCCGCTATTCTTAGCCAATTCGGCACGAGCGTGGTTGGAGCACTTACCGTCCAACGCCATTCAAAGCTAGGCGGATCTCATGGAGATCTTTGTGGGTAACTTCCAGGGAACGTACAAACATCCTAGAAACTCATGGGACCTCAAGAACTG